AGCATGTGAATTGTATGAGAATTAGAGGTTTTGGTATGGCTGGAAAAGTGATTTTCGTGTCAAAAAGAAGCAGAAAAGTGATTATGCTACAGGTGTAACCAGTTACGTATTTGGGTGTAACCGGTTACACGGTTCAAAAATGATGTTCTGGGCGTGGTTATGGGGGTATAATCGGTTACTGCATTTGGAGTAACTGGTTATACTTAAGGGAAGTAGCGTAGCAGGGGCATGGTTACATGGCGTAATCGGTTACTACGTTTGGTGTAACCTGTTACACTGGGAGGAAATTTTATAAAACTTTAAAAAATCATGACTTGAGTTTTGAATGTCTGATTGAGGTCACGTTCGAAGTGTTAGGAAGTTGACACGATAAAATTTATTTAAAAAATAATTGCAGTACATTGAATTAATTTAATTGTTGCGTGGTGCTGACAAATGACCGATGGTGTTTATGTTATGGTGTGGAATATGCCTGAATGTATTATTGTTGTTTGCTATACTATTATATTATTGTTGCAGAATGTTTATAGCTTGTGTATGGTGGCTAGCATTAGCGTGGTACATTGATTAAGGTGAAGGTCATTGTATATATTGTTGTTGTTGCATGTCTATCATGTATCATGCATCATGATGTTTAGACGGTGGTCCGTTTTGGTGAGCCTCAATTCTATGGTGGGGATTGGGTGCGAGTAGTTGGTTCTAGGTGGGAATTGGTGAAGTGTTACCTATGGTGATTGTAACGATTTTTGGTGTGCTCTGATCCTATGGTGGGGATCGGGAGCGAGTGAACCTGGGAGTTCACATATTAGTACCACGTGCATTAAATCAGGGTGTTGAGTCTTATTGCATTGCATACTTGTTGTGTTGTTGTGAATTGGATTGTATGGAAGTTTGACTTATGGAATGGGTGAATATGAATGCAATAATTTGTTACTTACTTATTATTATGCATTGATTTATATAATTGTGATATCTCACCCCTTCTATTTGAATGTTGCCTCCATGTGGGTAACGCGCAGGTGATTTGCAGTGAAGTTGTGGATGTGAGTAGAAGACAATACTATTCTTTATGCTTTTGTCGAGTTGGCATCTGCTCTGATATGTAACATCGGGGGGGTCAAATGCTTGGTTGTTTATTTATGTTGTTGGATATTTTATGGATATCTCCTAAGTTGATAATTCTTATGATTACTTTATAACATGATTTTGTTTTGAATAAGTAAATGAATAAATTGTTGATGCTTTCCGCTGCAATAAAAGTAAAGTTAGATATGTTGATATTTATTATTATTATTATTATTATTATTATTATTATTATTATTATTATTATTATTATTCATCTTAAAAAGTTGTATGTGTTACATGTCTTATGATATGATCAGGTTTATGTTGAAATGCGACATCCTAATTGTATGTATGTTTTTATGTTACTCTGATTTTAATTATATTTATACGAAGAAAAATTAGGGTGTTACATAGTGGTATCAGAGCAGGTCGGTCTGTCCGGCCAAGTTGTTGAGTTAGTGTGGTGTGACAGTTGAATACTATTGATGTTGTCTTCTAACCATTATTATTGTTATTAGTGTGAAATAGAAAATGGCTGGAAGAAACGGTGCTGCAATTGATGCTGCTTTGCAGGCTATGGCTCAGGCTGCATAGAATCAACCAAATGCTGAAGGAAACAATGAGTTCCATCATCTAGATAAATTCTAGAGGAACAATCTACCTACTTTCAATGGGAGGTATGATCCTGATGGAGCGCATTCTTGGCTCGAAGAAATTGAGAGGATATTTCGGGTGATAGATTGTTCAGAAGCGCAAAAGATTTGGTTTGGTACTCATATGTTGGTTTAGGAGGCTAATGATTGGTGAATCAACACTTGTCAAGTGTTAGAAACTGCAGGTGAAGTTGTCACTTGGGCTATGCTCAGTAGAGAGTTTTTGAGAAAGTATTTTCCTAAAGATGTTTGCGGGAAGAATGAGACTAAATTCCTAGAGATGAAGCGGGGGAATTTATCTGTTACTGAGTATGCTGCCAGATTTTTGGAACTTGCCAACTTATATTAGTGAGGCAACTGCTGAATTATCAATGTGTGTTAATTTTGAGAATGGTTTGTGTCCGGAGATTAAGCAGGCGATTGGGTATCAACAGATCCAAAGGTTCCCAGAGTTGGTGATAGCTACGCACACGTTTATTGCTGTTGATTGTATGAAAAGGTTGGGCATTAAAGTGTCCTCCATGAATGGAGAGATGGTTATCAATACTCCTACTAAGGGATCAATGACTACTTCTTTGGTTTGTTTAAGTTATCCTCTGTCGATTTTTTATAGGGACTTTGGTGTTGATCTTACTTGTTTGCTGCTGAGGGATCTTGACGTTATCTTGGGAACAAACTGGTTGGAGTTCAATCATGTTCATATAAATTTTTATAACAAAACAATACATTTTCTTGCTTATACCGAGGAAGAATAAACTGGTTTCTTCTCTACTAGACGGTGGAAGAATTGTTGCAGAACAAAGCACATATATTTGCTTTATTTGCATCCTTATCTGTTAAAAGTCAAGTTGTAATTGATGAATTTCCAGTGGTGGAAGAATTTCTATATGTGTTTCCAGGTGATGTATCAAATGTGCCGCCAGAGCGAGAGGTGAAGTTTTCTATTGATCTTGTCCTTGTTACCAGGCTTGTTTCTGTGGCACCATACATGATGTTAGCGTCAGAGTTAGCAGAGTTAAAGAAGCAATTAGAGGAGTTGCTAGAAATGTAATTTGTGAGACCAAGTGTGTCACCTTAGAGAGCTCCGGTGTTGTTGATAAAGAAGAAAGATGGTAGTATGAGGTTATGCGAGGATTACCTATAGTTGAATAAAGTAACAATCAAGAACAAGTATCCACTTCTGAGAATAGATGATTTGAAAAACCAACTAGTAGGTGCGCGTGTTTTCAATAAGATTGAATTGAGGTCGAGATACCATCAAATTCAGGTGAAGGATGAGGATATTCATAAGACGATTTTTAGAACTCGGTATGGGCACTATGAATATTTGGTGATTCCATTCGGCGTTTCTAATGCACCTGGAGGGTTTATGGAATATATGAATCATATATTTCATACTTATCTAGATCAGTTTGCGGTGGTCTTCATTGATGATATTCTGATCTATTCTAAATCAGAAGAAGAGCATGTTGAGTATTTGTGAATCGTGTTACAAGTGTTGAAAGAGAAGAAGTTGTATGCAAAATTGTCAAAGTGTGAGTTCTGGTTGCAAGAGGTTAGTTTTCTTGGGCATGTTATTTCAGATAATGGTATAGTTGTGGATCCGTCTAAAGTAGATGCAATACTACAATGGGAGGCAAAGCATTTTTCGACTGTACTGGTTACTGCCGCATGTTTATTGAAGGTTTTTCTAAGTTGGCACTTCCGTTAACCCGACTGACTTGTAAAGGCAAAGTGTTTGTTTGAGATGTTCATTATGAGAAAAGTTTTAGAGAATTAAAGAAGAAGTTGACTACGACTCCAGTTCTAATTTTTCCTGAAACTAATGAACCATTTGTAGTATAATATAATGCGTCGATGATGGGTTTGGGTGGTGTGTTGATGCAAGATGGAAAAGTGGTGGCTTATGCTTCACGACAACTAAGGGTTCATGAGAGAAACTATCCTATTCATGATTTAGAGTTGGTTGCAGTGGTGTTTGTGTTGAAGAATTAGAGGCATTACCTTTATGGTTCCAGATTTGAGGTGTTTAGTGATCATAAGAGTTTGAAATACATGTTTTATTAGAAGGAATTGAATATGAGACATCAAAGGTGGTTAGAGTTTCTAACGGATTATGACTTTGGCTTGAACTATCATCCCGAAAAAGCTAATGTCATGGCTGATGCTTTATGTTGAAAGTCCTTGCATATGTTTTCTTTGATGGTCAGAGAGTTAGAACTTATCGAGCAATTTAGAGATTTAAGTTGAGTCTATGAGCTAACACCACAAAGCATAATGTTAGGTATGCTGAAGATAAATAATGATTTTCTTGTTAATATAAAAAAGGATCAGAAGATAGATGTGAAATTGGTGGACTTGATAGTTGCAGGTTGTCATATCCCAAATTTGTCCGTCCTTATTTCTACAATCAAAATTATTTTTAAAATTTAATTTTATAAAATTTGTGATTTATTTATACTAACATTTTAACATTAATTTATTTTGCTTACTTACAAATATTTAATAGTTTACTTAAAATTTATTTATATTTTTAAATAACAAATATTTGTTGAACTTTCATATACTTTCAATTGACTTTTTATTTCAAATAAATGACATAATGCAATTGATAAGGAAGTCAAGCTTGCAAGTATGAGGTCACGGATTTGAATCTCATTGTCTCATATTTTAACATTTTTCTTTTATTTTTTATTACTAATTTTCTTTTATTTTTCAAAATCAAAGTTTGGGCTTTTCTTAGTGTAGGTAACTTTCTTTTTGGTATTTTAAACCTAATTTCCCATCTATAAATATGGCTCTCTCCATCCTAATTGATCATTAACAATTCTCCATCTTTCTTTCATAAACTATTTTTGTCTTGATCGGACAATTACGCACAATCATCAACAATTCACCCACAATTACAATCTCTCACGATCCACTTAAACATTTTTCAACTTTTTTTCTTCACACATTCTTTCAAAATTATTTTAATGGTTATTTTAATTTTAATTCATTTACTATCTAATGATATTATTCGATGGTTATTTTTCTTAATTATATTTTCTTACAATTTTTAAGAGACCATTTTTCCAACCACATACCATAAACAACTTTTCCATCAAAAATTACAATTGCTATACACAATTTTCCACTTTTGATTTTCCCAGTGTAATTTGTAATAACATCATAAAACATTTTCTTCTTCGTACATACCTACCACCATAAAAATATACACGGATCATAATATCCTTCCACAAATTCATCACCTTCACTAAATTCAAAGTAAAACTTCAAATTTTACAATACCATCACCTTTTGCAAACCGATCACCCAAACCCTCAATTCAAATTTAGTCAGCGTCAAATGCCCATTCTCCCTCATAACAAAAGCTTCCAAGCAAAGTGTTCCATAGATAAACATCTTTGTGAGGCGTTTGTTCAAACAACTTATGTGCATGGTGAATTGATGTGTATCTAGCATATAGAACATTGAAACCATCATCATCACTTTCAAACTCTTACATTACACAGCAACCATGGATCCACACGCAACCGTCCATTTCCGACATCTCAACACGCAAGACAATCGGCGCCGTCCGCTCCGATGCATATCCGCATACAACTCTTCTACGTCCGCAAGATGCAGAACATATCCAGGTTACCATCACCGGTCTCCCTCCATGCCGACGTCAATCCATCTTAGCCTCACGCACAACGAACTCACACCACACAAGCCTTGACCGCGCCGAATCGTTCGCCTCCACATCCGCAACGACATCAAACCGCCACCGACGCAACCGACTACATAGCCTCATGCCGCCGTCACGAAACTCGCTGGAAATGGTATTGTGCCAGACCGCGAGCTTCCTCCCGCCGCCGGAATCGTATCACCACCATCAGAGTTGTCGGAGAAATATTGATCTGAGATTGAAAAGGAAAAAATGGGTTGAGAAATTTTGAGTGAGAGAGATAATAAGATGAAAGAAGACGAAGAGGTAGCAGAAAAGTGAGAGGAACACGCTTTGAGATGAAAGAAGAGGTAAAGTTTTTCTTGTTTTTTCCGGTCAAATAGGAATATCACTGTAAATTGTTTTTTTTAATTATTTAATATCATGATTGCCATTTGTCAATAGAGAGGGCATAGGGTGCCGCTGCTCACCATTGGCTGTTGTTTTTCTATTTATTTATTATTTTTTAAGCATAATATTGAGAATTAGGGTTAAGTGGTTTGAGCCATTGGCCTAATTTAAATTCTTTCACATCCTTTAATTTTAATTTTGCTAACCCAACACAATTAACATCTCCCTGATTATTTGTTGTTCTTTATTTTTATTAATTGATTTTTCTATTCTAATTTCTTCTATTGTTAAAATTCTAATTAGGATTTTAGGGTAATCACCTCACCTAGGCTTTATTTTTAATTTAGTTTACGGTAAATAACTTAATTAAGTTTTAAACTAGGTTAATTAAGTTTTGTTTCCAACTAAATCATAAAAATATAAAACAAAAATAATACAGACAATTAGCTTTGTTATATTCGATCGCTTTGATTAATTTAGACTAATTAGATTAATTAATTTGTACATAAATCAACATTTTTTTTCCAAATCAAATTAATTTTAATATTTTAATAAATAATAAGATTGGTAGATTTTACATCCATCACATCTTCGAATAATCGATTGGTTGTCTTAACGTCTACCAATTAATTATTCAAATCAAAACTTCTAAAAATTACCAACATATAAAATGAATTTCTTTGCCCCGTGCGATTTAATTCTAACAAGGATCAACTCCTTATAAAATTCAATTTCTTCGCCTAGCGCGATTTAATTTTCATAAAGATCAACTCTTTATCAATCAACTTAATCAAAAGAGTTAACCAACCAAAAAATTTTTTTGCTAACATAATCAAACCCAAGATTTTCAAATAAAGAATCGCCTGGTTTCTTTCTACTTGGATAAAAACTTCGTCTACCATCACTCAATTTTCAAACCCAAGCAAGTTCAAAACCATTCGAAAGCAACTTAATATGATTCTATAAAAAACACCCACCAAACATAATTTGAACTACGAAATGAACTCTGATTTCTTCGCAAGAGAATACGTAGGCACGCAGTTCAAAAACCAAGGCGAGCCCCCTAATTAAAAAATTAAACCTTTTTCTTTCACACACTGACTCGATCAATAGCGTGATAACTCTTTGATGTGAAGGGTTAATGCTTACAATTTAGAAGTATATGGCTTAAGTATGCACTAATATTGGATGAATAAAATGGTGGAACTAAGGGGTATTTATAGGGTTTCAAAACCCTAAAAATCCCTAAAACTGTTCAAAGTAGTGGAGAAAAAGTAGGGGTCGTTTGTGGACTCTTGGAGGCTAAGCAAAGCCCATTTCCAACCGTTTGTACTTTATAAAGGACGGAGAACCCCATGGGGGCATGGAGAATTCCATGGCTTGCTAACTCATGCATGTTTGTTCCTTTTCCTTCGTTTGTGGGTCCCATGTGGTCGCCTTGAGTGTAAACTGCTTCATTTCTTCGTTTTTCGTCCATTTCGCTTCGTTTCTTTGCAAATGCCTCTTAAATGGCCAAATACCTTAAACAAAAACAAAACAGTCGCATAATAATGGAAATGTAAACAAAATTACAATAAAACACACACAAATCAAGTCAAATAAACGATGTATTTTTGTGTTATCAAATTCTCCCACACTTGAACCATTGCTTGTCCTAAAAAAAATGAAAGTAAACAATGATACTCAGACCAAGTTATATCAATAGGAAATAAATCACAAAACAAAAGTATCATAGCAACATATTCCACATTTGCGGTCATAAGTCTCCTTCTTATACAAACTAATCTGAATCATGTTGTTATATTTAAACCTAACTTACTCATCCCAAATTTTCATCATTTTTCATTCAGGCGCAATCACATTAAGCATGTTATTCGTACATACTCATAGTAAGGCAACCAGTTAGTGATTCTGATCCTTTGCACGGGGTTCTGGTACATTAAGTTGTGTAAACCCTTTATATGCCATGTTTTAGTTGCAAGAGATCGGACCGTAATACTCCCTACCAAGTTCAGCACCAGAAACCTCTGAACCAACAAACAACGAGTTATTTTATTCTATTTTTTCAGGTTCCACAACTTTTGGGTTAAGAAACCGGGTGAGGGTCACCTAACTTATAAGGCACATTCCCTATTTTTATTAATTATAGAAGAAAATTAGGATCATTCACTTATACTCATCGGCTTCCCTACGTAGAGCATGCTTAAGTCGGAGCCGACTGCTAAAATAAACCACTTAAGGACTTAATTATGGGTGATAAATTAAGGCTATGGCATAACAAGTATCCAGATTGATTTATATAATTAAGATATTTACGGTGTTAAAACGATACTGATATTTCCAAAAAAATTCCCAAGTCTCTATAACTTGTCCTAAACTTGTCTAACAACCCACAGATTTAAAATAAACATTGTTACTTTTTGCAAAAAAAATCTGGTATAGCTCAAGAAAAGGAAAAATTCAATAAACAGCAAAAACCTCACATGAAGACTACACATCACATGAAATGATTCGATAAAACAAACTAAAATTGACAAAAGAAATGCTAAAAAATTATACTAGAAAGCAATAAATCTAACTAGAAAGCAAGTAAATGTAAAGTTCCCCTCCACACTTAAACCAAACATTATCCTCAATGTTTTAGTAAAAGTGGGAAAAGGAATAAGAACATGATCAATGCCCGCCCAGGTAGTTGCCTGCATGCAGCTGATAGGTGTCAAGCAATCAATATCTTTATTTTCTACAAACTCAAACAAAAGCAAAAACATTAAATTGAAAACCCATGGGTTGCCTCTCTTGCAACGCTTCTTTTAACGTCGGTAGCTCAATGGATAAGGAGTGTAATCACTTATGGAGGTTCTATCGAGAATGATTTCTCGCTCGAACTTTTAATAATCTTCAGTTTACATGACCATTTATCAAGCCATCTCTCATATCCCTCACCTTTTCTTTTCTTCTTTCTGTAGGGTGGTTTAAACTTCTGAACTTGTGGTGGTGGTTCTGCCTCCATTATGCGTATCAGCTTTCAAGTTTGGGTTTAGTTCTTCCATCCACCACCTCAAAGGTTAACATTCCCTTATTAACACTAAGGATTTACCTAGTTTCTTGGTCACCTAATTTTCTCTTTTTATGCAGGATCTTTGATAAAGGTGCATCAATATGGATATTTTCCAATACCTCCACATAATTTTTTTATTGGGAGTCTACCTTAGCTTCCATAAATATTTTGGGGAAAGAAATAGGTGAGTTGTAGGGAGGAAGGACAACATAACGTGCTTTATTTTATATCTCTTCGACAACCTCCCTTTCCGGTGGTGGCGGTGGATTTTTCTCAATCTCTACTCTTTTCTCACCAGAACTCTTAACCGCATTGTCACTCTCCTTAGGATTTTTTATTTGTTCTTCACTACTAGTTATTACAACATCTGTATGTCTCTCCGGGAATGGTCCTAGAGGTGTCTGGGAAAGCCTGGAGATTTAAGTCTCCAAAGCTTTGCTCCTAGTAGCGAGGGACTCGACCATAATGTTCAACTTCCTAATAGTTTCATTATTATGGAGACTCTGGTTTCTAAGATCTTCATTCACGAGAGTTTGTGTCTTCACAAACTTCTGCATCATAAATTCTAACCTACACATAGCTCGTGTCTCCATGATATTCTCATATGGGAACCTTGTAGTTCCTTAAAATAACGTGAGTGGTAATTATAGAGAAAATTTTGGTGATACATAATGATCTCAATGCTTGATCAGAACCTGCAAGATGGTCGTCTTCTGTCAGGCTGGAAAGTCAAGGACGAAAAAAGGGGGTTGTATCTGCAAGGCACTCTGATGATCAAGTAAGTGTGGGAGCAAAGAGATACAAGTATAATATTAGGATTTTAGTGGTGAATAGTAAATATTCGATACTTGGCCCTCACATGTGTGATGGTATATATAATGGCCCCAGCACTTGGCATTGGTTCCTATTTTTGAGACTAGATATGCGGGTCCGCAAAAATAGATAACTTTGAGGACTGAGTCAAAATGGGCAGGTGTGCCCGTAATTAGCCGTTGGATCCGAGGAGGAGGAAGATTACGAGAAGATGACTGTTATGGATAGTTCCTGGTTATCTGCTTGACTCGGGTCAGGCTGACAGGAGACAACTGCTGACTGGGTCAAGCGTGTGGGTCGGGCATTGCTGGTCGTATACCCAGTGGCGTGGTTGACCAAGATATTGGGTCACCATTGTTGGGTCATGCCAAGGGTAGAAGTGGATTGGGCCAGTCTAGAGAAGGAGCCCCCCAAGTTATTTCTTCTGGGCACAGGAGTGATGACTTAGTTCCAGCTGATGAAACAAGGATGTTTTTATGTTGGTACTGTTCGAGGGGTGCAAATGGTGTTTGTCTTGTTTGCCTCGCATGGAGGTGAATGGTTGAGTGGCTCGCT